TTAAACTAAAAGTATTTAATTAAACTTTAAATCTTCATCAAATAAAATTTCAGAAAGGTATATTTTATTTTTGAAAAACATTTTTTAATAAAGAGACAATAGGGATCAGTTTCATTTTGGATGCATTGAAATTAACAAGTCATTCATTACCACAGTTAACAACAGATTGTAAGTCATTTTTTAGATCAGCTGCCAATTTGACCTTATCAAACTGATCAGATTTACCATTAAAACAGGAGTAAATAGGTATGTCATCAGATATGGCATAGATACCAAGTTGAGAACTGAAGACATTAGGTAGCTCATTGATGAAAATTAGGAACATAGGTCCAAGGAGATAGGCCTTAGAGGGGATACCTGCATTAATGGAAAAAGATCTAGAAGAGTTGTCATTCAAGACAACTTTTGTTTCATAATTCGATGCAAAAGTCTGAAACAAATCAAAAATTTGTCCAGAAATACAAGATGCAAGAATCAAGTTAAAATTAATTAAAATTTAAATATACATACACACACATAGATTTTACCCTGGATATTGGAGTAAAGAGTTTGTTGTTAAATTTACATTTGTTTTAAATAAATTAACATTTTTTTCATCTTCTTTTATGTGCTGTCTCTTCAGGATGTGGGTGATCATAACTCTCCATGACTTTTTTGACTCTTTACTATGCCTTTGTCCTCACACGGTCATCCATTCATCCAAACTTATTAGATAGATTACTTGTTATTTCCATCTGCCCTTCCTGCCTTCATGAGTTAAATTTTGCAAACCCTTTTTTTAATTGTATCATAAAAATTTTAACTGTTTCTGATTTTAATGGTGTCCTTTTAATTCCTAATTTCTTTAAATTGCTTACATATTCAGTACCTGGAATTCTCAGCATCCATCAGTAGAACAACATCTCTCTTGTCTCAAGCCTTTTCTTCTTCTGCTAGGAAATTGCTCAGTATTCACTGCTGTAGAGAAGAATAGATATAATATAGTAGTACAGCACATTTTCTATTTACTATTTATTAATATTTTGCTTAGTTTCTAGAAGTCATCTTTTCTTATTCCAATGAGCCGTCTGTTTCACTTTTTTGTCTTATTGCTTTCATAAAACAATTTTCAATAATACCATTATCTCTTTATATATGATTACATAAGTTCAATCACTGTAATTTTTTTTTTTTAAAGATTTTTCATTTTTAAAATTTAATTTTAAACCTCTTTGGGAGGTACCTACTTATAAATATGCAAGATAAATTCTGGCAAGAAAAGTTATTTGATTAAATAAAATTTAACTATCTTTTCTCGCACTTCTCACTTGTCTAACTCTATTCCAGCTCCATGCTTTTCAGCCAACTTTAATCTGCAAAAATTTAAATGCAAGGTCAATCACTATCTATTGTCCTGCTGATTACTCTTTCCACTTCCCTCTCATTATTAATGTTTCTGTTCCTAATTCTTCTACACCCTGTAAGCCCTTGTGTCTTAGTGGCTTTACATGCATGGGGTGATATCATTTTAAAAAAAAAAATACAGTAACTGAACTTGGTAAATACAGCCAAAAAACAGGATGTATTTTATTACAACTTAAAGTTAACTGAACTTTAGTATTTACTGTTTTATTAAGAAATACATAAATTTACAGGTAATTCCTATTTTATAAGTATTTATAAAAAAATATTAGCATTTAGTTTAAATATGTAGTTTCAACCTCCTATCCATAATACCAGCAAATTGAATACTAATATCTGGAAAAAGGTGATTGGTAGCAATTTTGGCTAAGGATTCTTATGTTCACTTAGTACTAATGTTGGAAAAGGCATGTGCCTTTTTGCCAGATACCCTGTAAATAAAACAAAAAAATTGTTGCTAGCATAGCAAGACAGAGAAGAGACTAGGCAAGTGAAAATTTAAGATAATCACTCTCCTATAATTAATTCACATCCAAGGTAGTAGTAGTAACACCAAAAAGTTGCTATATCTATTATCAATATTCAAATGTTTCAAAAATATATTTTATAGTTTGACAATAGGTTTCTGAACCAGTTTTTAGAATTACTTTCTTCTGGTCACACAAGACTACAAGTGTGTCTGTTTGTCTACACAATATATCAAAAAGTTCTCAGCAAATTACATTTTTATAGAAGGGTAGGATACAAACCAAAGAACAATTGAGCAAATTTGTGGGAAAATATACATTTGTTCTTTTGGTTTTTTGGGGTTTTTTTTTTAAAGACATTTCATATTTCATTTCAGTTCAAAAGCAACAAAATAAACATGGGCAGAAGGGAAAATATTGGCATATTGACTTTTCACTTTAACCAAAAAAAAGTTTAGAAGAAAACACCCATCAATATTAGAATGGGCTCCGTTTACTGGATTTAAGAGGTATAATTTCCTGAAATTTTTACCTAACTGTTCGGTCAATGAATACCAAATATTTCCTAAGGAAACAGCTAATATTACTATTTAGCGAAACTCATAGTTACTTCCCTTGCATCTTATTTTCATTGTTGTTAGCAACACTGACGTTGGTAGAAGTAGACACTCTTTCAGCGATTTTCGCTTTAAATTTTTTTTCTATTTGGTAATTTTTCTTTTTTACTTATATTTTTACCCATATAATTGAGTCAATTCTATTCTGAGAATGATATACAAATAAATAACAAAATTTCCTACAAGTTATTTGTTAATACTGACTACCTACAAAACATTGTCTAAAACTAAATCCATTCTCAATAATATTTTTATAAGTTATTAGCATTTCAACATTTATTTGGACAATTCAACTCGTTCTTTGTGTTGTTGCTGTTATCACAATGTTTCATCTTCTGTGTCTCACATTTCTTAAATGAGCCAAGCCTGTTAGAATATTAGCAACCATTTTTTGCTTGCAATTTTGTTCTGTAAAAAAAAAAAAAATATTCCATTTCCTTATAGATTAATCAACCATAGAAGGTTGTAGAATGGATCAACCAAAATGTGTTAACATCAGCATCACAATGAGTATCTTCAAGGATTATCATTATTAATTTTAAACACATTTTCATTGCATTGTGGCTCAGGCCATCAATCTATGGCAGGTAACCAGTACAATTGACAAATAAAATATAAACTTTCAGTGAGATTTGAACTCACATCACTTTTGCTTCAGTGAAACTTGGTTGAATGCACCAGTTGCTTTTACTATTAACACATTGACTGCCAGAGGTCAATTATAAAATTTGCCTTTAAATGCCAACTTAGACAATAAAAAAATTTTGATTTGATTTATAGCTTCAACTAAAGTCTTAATATTGCTATCACACTAAAAGTATCGCTCTGAATAAACTTGTTGTTGGTGACCACAGATGAAAATTTGTCAGAAAATGCTGACAAATAACTCATAATCAGCTTCATGAAAGCAGTGATGACACCTACCCTAAATTCATCATAAAAATTCAGGAGGTGGAATTAGTAAATACTAAACACTTCATAGACCTTGACATATGGATCAGTTATAACAAATTAAGTATAGGAGAGAAGGAAATTGAACATAGAATAGGCTGTGCCATAGGTGCTTTTGCCCAAGACTGCAAATTACTACAAAACTTCAACTTGTAAACTCAAGTCATATTCTGAAACAGCCTCATCAGATCAAGACTTTCATATGGATGTCATGCATGGCACCAAACCCATTCAGAAATATCTAAACTGTCAGCTATATACAAAGACTTTCTACGATCAATGGTTAAAAACGGCTTTGAGTGAGATCATCTTTCTTTGAACATTGTGGACTGGCGCTACAGATTCACAAAGAACTGTATCAAATAAGTAAAACCACATCACCTGAGAACTACCAACAGCAGCAACAACTAAAATAGATAGCACATGTAACTTGAAGATAAATAATGACATAATCAAGATGTTAACATGCCACACTACTTCAAATAAAAGGTTAGAAAGAAAACCCCCATCAATACTAGAAAGAGAAATAAAAGCTGCTGGACTTGAGAAATCTGTTTTCCTAAGAAATTACTTTAAGAGGAATATTTTATAAATTTCAACCAAAAGCAGCACTAGCTGCTCAGTCAATGAATGCCAAATGTTTCCTTATAGGGAAACAGCTAATATTACCATTATCATAATAAAAACTGCTAACCAGGCATTAGCTCATGGTTGAAAGTCAATGTGTTAAGCAATTAATGATGAGAGTAAATATGAGTCAAAATTAATAATAGTTGACAAGGTTTCATCTATTCAAAAGTAGTATTTACTTTCATTTTAATAAAAAATAAAAATTAAGATGCAAGTAAATACTACTAAAAATTAATAATGATAACAATGCCTCATTTAATAAAATCTAAAATTAAGATGAAAGTAAATACTAGCTAAAGTTAATAATAATGGCTGAAAAGGTTTCAATAAAATCTAAAAATAATATTGCTATCTACAAAGTTGTTTTTCAGAGTTGACTTCATTTTTTATTTCTTAAAATTGTCTGATGATTGTAGTAATTTTTCTTTTAATGGAAAAATATAAATATGTTTTTTGTATAGAAGCTGATTTTTTGGACACTGTCTTAAATTTACTTGTTAGACTGTCTCATTTATTATATGTCAGATGTAGAAAAGTAGAAACAACCTTTTTCAACACATGATTAATGAAAATCTTGCAAAAATAAACTATGCTTATTGAAATTAATTCATCTTTACAGATTTGGCCAGTTGTCATATAAATATCAGTATTTTCTAAATCTTTTCCATTTTTTTAATTTTATACCAATAACATTTGTATCTTCTCTTTTTAAATAATGACTATGTTCAGTATATATAACAAATATTTCCTTTTAGAATGCTATACATTTGAGATTATTGCATACTATGCTTGATATCTCTGCAACACTTGGTGATTCCAGGTTACTTTGTGTTGTGTCTTGGTGGAATAGTTCTTAAACACTATTTTGAGCTTTCTTCAAGAAAAAAAGAAGAAAGTTAAGAAATATATGAATTTATTTCTATATTTTTCACCACTAGTTATTGCTAATATAAGCCATGATTGCCTCCCTTTTAAGTCTGCCAGCTTCATCATCTGGGTAGCTGGGAGTTGGAGAAGGGAATCCATCATCATCAGGGAGAGGTTCTCCATTAACAAAGTCTTTAAATTCTTCTTCATGGCTAAGACAAAAGTTATGAAGGACACAACAAGCCATGATGACATTGGGAATTAAAGCTGTTCGTGTCATTCCAACAAACTTGAGACGCTTCCATCTACCTCGAAGCAAAGTGAAAGCATGTTGAGCTATTAGACGTGTCTCAGTGAGTCGCCTATTGTATTCTTGATGGCCGGGGAGGAGATAGTTTTCATCTTCCAAGTATGGTGTTACTAACCACTTTTTCAAGGGATATGCAACAGCTCCAAGCAAATGGACATCTTCCTCTGGAAAATAGTGAGCAGTGTTATTTTCTATTTCCCTGAAAATGTCTGATTCACAAAGTACTACAGAATCATGAACTGACCCTGGCCAGCCTGTGTAACAGTCTGTGAACTTCATTGTGTGGTCACAGATAGTTTGGAGTACAATAGTGTGGCATTTCTTTCGGTTTACAAATACCTCTGGATGGTCTTTAGGAGTTAGGATTGGGATGTGTGTGGTAGCCATGATGCCAAAAACATTTGGGAAGGCACTAATATTAAAGAAACCTTGTACGATGTCATTAATGTCAGCAGCAGATGGCCATTGAATAACCATTGTCTTTAAATTATTTAGGGCTTTGATGATACTGTCCAAAATCACAGAAGCAGAGGATTCACAAACATCAAATGTCTTAGCAATAGTCCGAATTGATTCTCCTTGAGATCCAAGAAACCAGAGGCACATCAATACCTGTCAAGAGGAGAAAAAAAATTATTATATAAAAAAAGTGTTTTAAAAAATTGGGACTCAGTAATTAAGGAATACATTCAAATAAGATTAACAAATTTTCAGAAAGCTTAGAAGTCTTTTATTAGAACAATCTATATAATAAATGTGAATGTCACCGTGTCACACTTTTTCAATTAAAGGGACACAACTCTCTAACTTTCAATAGCTCATGTTACAGAAATTTTGGATTCCCAAGTTTTCATTACTGTGATTGTTTTCAGCAATTTTTTATATGATTTTTTGCGACAAATTCTTTTGTATGATAACAATTTTTATAAGTTGGAAATAAATTTGGGAATAATCAAAATTAATTACAAAATACAGTGAAAGTCACCCATGAAACAAAAATAATTGTTTGTATGGAGAGTAAGAACCTATGCACATCAAATTGTCTTTAAATTAAGTGGTGGCAGAAGAATTATTGTTGAACTTTTAAAAGGTAAGTTTAAATATTAATACATTACTTAAATGCAGCAATCAATTTTGAGTTCTTCTGTAGTTTGTTGTTGCCTATCACATGCAACAGCAGTATGCCTAGCAAAAAGAAATCTCCTCCAACAGAGGACCAGATTGCAATCAAAAGAGCCAAGGCTACACTGAGGAAAAGAAAGCCATGTGTAAATGAGAACCCAGATGAAATGGCAGCCAGGATAGATTCCAATGCTGAGAATATGCAAAGACTTAGGGACTCTTAAACCCCTGAACAAACTGAAGGCTCAAGTCAAGAACCCTCTGCAGAAGCTAGCTTAAATGTTACCTGATAGGGTGGCTTTTAAGCTAGTATCATATATGTGTAGCTCTTTTACAACTGCATACAAGTTTGGTTAAATCAAGCATGACAATTTAAAAAAAAATATATATATATAAAAGGTAATTTTAAACCATTATTTTATACCCTTATGTAGTAAATCTAAATCAACCACTTTTACATTTTTTTTAATTTTTTTATTTAAAATTTCGGTTAAACTACTTAAGGAATAAGATATACATAAAAAAAAAAACTAACTTCCGTTTTTGTTTGGCAAAATAATCAAATATACCTATTCATGCCATTTTAAAACCTAACAAAAACATTTTCACATTCACAAATCATCGGAGTGATGCTAAAAAAGGGTGCAAAAATGGATTGCCTAAATGTATTTTGTGAAACGAGAAAAATAACTTAAAGTTAAAAATTCAAAATAAAAATGTATAATGATTTTTTTTTTTAAGTTGGGGCTCTAACTTCACAAAATGTTTTTGTATCAGAATAATATCCATGCCATTTTAGAGATCAGTTTCCACATTTTAAAAATGGAAAAAAAAACATACCACCCTTTTAGAATCACACTGACAAAGTGTTACAGTTATTTGATACATGACATCTGTGTAATAGGGAAAAATTGTCCAAATTTCTTAGATGACATAAAGTGCTACAAAATCACAAAGATTTTTTCCTAAATAACAAAATACACAAAAATGGATAGCACATGTAACTTGAAGGGAAAATAAAGCTGCTAATTTTCCTTCCCACATTACAGAAAGCAAAATTTGTGAGGAAAACTCCTAGTGAACTTGAGAAGTTTAATTTTCTGAAAAACTGTAAGAATAAGATTTTTAAATTTCAACTGTCACATTACCGTTTGATAAGCACTGAATGTTTCCTCCTGTATGAAAACAGCTCTAATTTCACCATGTTTTACTAATTTTTTTTTATATTGCTTTTTAAAATAAATCTTATTCTTAAGAACTAAATAGCATGGATGTGGATGAGAATAAGCTTTAGCCTTTGTGATTTGAATCAAAAAATTTTTCTATAAATAGAAAATGAAACATTCAATGTTTACTAATTAATTAGTAAGTTAGAACTTGTAATAAAAAAGCTTATTTCGATTAGAAAATTCTTACAAAAATAAAATGAAAAATAGCCTCGGAAATGAAATATAAGTATTTTTTAAATAAATCTATCACTCGACTAATTAACCCTTGTGGGGTGGGGACGATTTGTCTGAAAGAGTGTTCCCAAGGGAAGTAGAAAACGGTGTTTTTGTTATGGATGAAGTTAATGTTTACGTACGGAAGTAATATCTACAAAAAATGTAGTCATGATCCAACCAACGTGCGCATTCGGTACAAGTAGTAGACAGAAATTAAATAATTTCGTTGTAAAAATCTAGTTTATTTTTTCAAATAGTAGTGCTTGGGCATATCTAGCCGTTCACAAGACATGTGATTCTGATACTGACAATTCTTTACGGTCTCTCTTTTTTTTTTTAAAAAAAAAGGATTTATTCGATATTTTTTAAACATGCTACCTGGTGTTCCTGGTCGTTGTTTGTCCAAAAAATATATGATTAATTTTTTTAAATTTTTTTTTTTTTTTTTAAATCTTTTAGCAAAAATATGATAGTCAATTCAAAATGCAAGTATTAATTAATGATACTTACCTTTCTATCTAATGGCACTGGTTTTCTACCCCGACTTGGGTTTTCTTTAACATGGTGTGCCAAAACAGAACATAACATTTCAAATGTGTCGGCATTCATTCTAAAATGTAGTCTGAATTGATTGTCCTTAAATGCCATCAGGGCTTCTCCTTCAATAGAACCCCTTTTTCTAGCCTTCGCAGGCTTTTCTGGAGACTTTTCACCCTCATCTGTCGACAAAAGAGAACAGAGAAGTGCCGAGGGTCTATCATCCGAGTTAATACCAGTGGTACCCAGCCGGCGGCCCTTTCTCAACATACACGTATCGTCCATAAGAAACATATCACAAGCAGCATAAAGAGCCCCGATTAAGGGAGCGATATCATTTGGTGGCTGAAATGTTTCATCATTCATTTTTCTATGTTTACTTCTATTTCAAGTATAAAATATCTACTCGTTGTCGTTAAGAAAAAGAAGTGAAGATTGTTTATATCTATATAACAATTTGAGTAAAACTTCCGGTTCCGGTTCCGGTTCCCTCGCTTGTTGCTAATTTAAGAGAATTTGTTTTTTTTCGTTGTTTATTTTTGGTTAGAGCTTGGATTAGCATATCACATAAATAAAACTTGTGGAAAGTAAATTAAAACCATGAAGAATGGAATAAATTTTGAAAAAAAAAAAAGAAACAGTTTTTCTTATTGATTAAGCACTAAATTTCTTCACATCATCAATATATATTTGGCGTATAGTCTGCAATAAACATTAAAATTAGGGTCATTACACATAGTGAGATATTAATGCAATTTGATATTTTTGTCATAAAGATGTAATAACAGCTAAATTGTTAATCTGATGATGAAGGCCATTAACCTTTGAAGAGGATCCATTTGCAGAGGATATGCAAGACTGCAGGTGTGTGATGGAATGAATTGAATTCAACATCTTCAAAAATAAATTTCAACCTGTGAAAATATTTTTATATAAGGAATAATATGAAGAAATATATTAGTGTATACAAATATAGCTGAAAAGAGTGAGTAAAACATTTATAATGTAATGTGTGTTTCAGTGCATGCATGCAGGAGATGTATCACGTGTCTGGGTGACAAAGTCCTTAGAACTGAAGACAAGTTTTCTATCTATCACATTATAGAACGTAATAGATTTTGTTCAGTGTTGGTTGGTTGCTTTAGGGGACCTCGAGAATTTGTATCCGACAAATTCAAATTCAAATTCTCAAAGCCCTCTATATCAAAAGCAACCAACACTGAACAAAATTTATTACAAGTATTGTAGCAATGTTTTAAAATGCATTTGAGTTGACTAACATTTAACACCATGTTGCAATTTACCATCTCTGCTTATGTCCCTTGCTTAGGAACACTTGTTTACAAAGCATCCTAAGCACAATTAATTTTAAAATAATTATAACAGAATACATTTATAAAAATGCATGTTTACAAAAATCACCACCACAATGATTACATTTACATTAAGTTTGTCTTTGCAATTCATTCCTGAGGATGATCTCAGAGGAGATCGAAAGTACTTGGGGTAACAATAATTTTGTTGCTTTTCTTGATGAATTTTTCAACATCAAGAAGATAATTAGAGTGTAGGGTCACTCACATTATACCAGCTGGGATAGCCTTGTGTTCACATGGGTAAAAACATACACAGAAATAACACTAAAACTATTTTACATTAAAATCATGCAATTTTATTTATTTTGTGTACTGGTGTGTGTATTTTAGTTACATGCGTTTTACGCTTACATGTAATAAAAAGAAGTCACTTTGTACTATAACAAGCAATGTGCCAAGGAGATGGATGTCTTGACCTTTCAATGGTCAGTAGCGAAAGAGTGAATTCAGAGTTTTGGCACAAAGTCAATTTTCAGACAGGAAAAGTTTCTCTTACATTCTGGGAGAATTTTTATTATTTTGTTTTATTTATTTTAAGGAACATTTTAATATTATTTGTTTTATTTTATTTATAATATTATTATTAATTTATATTTTTTATTTATTAATAATAATATTAATGTCTCTATAAGAGAACTAGAACGGATTATTGTAAAAATAAATAGATATAATATGTCTATATCATTTAATGATTATATATATGTAAAAAAAAGTGCAGAATAAAAAATAAAACCAGAGCTACTTGAGATTCACCATCAAATTAAAGGATTGTCAGGCCAGGTTCACTTAGCTAGTGGTGTCAGCCTTAAATATGGAGAATTCTTTTTTTTTTTTTTTAAAAAAAAAAACAGGAAGTGAATCACATCCAGGTTTCATGTTACAAATTAATCTTGTCATAATTTCAGCTCTCTTAATTAATAGTGTTGTGAGGTCCAGATGTCTATGATAGATGATTCCTGCAAACATTAAAAATGAAGAAATGACACAGGCCAAGGCAAGGATAACTAGAATGAGGAGTTTATATAAAAATATACCAAATTTATTATTAGCAAAAATACAATGAAAAGGAACAAAGAGGGCAGATGTTTTAAATGCCCTGCTTGGTCATGCTGGGAGTTAACTTTTGGTCCAAGATACACCAACAGTTTATAGCCCAATGATGAAACCAGAGCAGCTTGGGTAGTGATGAAGGTCAGTAGGCAGTCAGTGTGTTGAGTTGGTATTAGCTGACAGTTGTATCCCAGAGTAGGTGGCTGAAAGCACTGTAATCCACAAGATCATTGGTATGCAGGGCAGTGAAGCCTGAATTGCCAAGTGGGTTGGTCAAAGACTTTGTGCCCTAAAAAGGACAGTTAATGATTGCATATCATATAGTGAGGAATGACTGAGTTTGTCCTGAAAAGGACAGTTTGTTATTGCATATTATTCAGTGAAAGAAAACTTATACTGCCCTGTTCAGGACAACCTATCATGCAGTAAAGATTAACTTAAATTAAGTTTGTTCTGAAAAGGACAGTTGATTATCACATATGTTAACCAAAAGACACTGGCAATGGTGAAGATGTGGTAGGTTGAAGTCATTTTGAAGTTAGCTAGGGCAGCAGAAGTTGGTATTGACAATGTTAGTTACTGCTGTTGGAACACATACTACACAATCATCTTCTTTGCTAGGGCTGAGTAGTCATCTTTGGTATTTACCAAAGACTCCCCACTGAGTCAAGACGTGACACAAGGTCAGTTATTTAATGTGGGGAACCAGAGTGTAAACACTTGGACCATTAGTAAAAATTTACCCATCCCCTGCTTACATAGGATTGGGTACAAAGCTTGTCTTAACTGGTCATGGCCAAGTGGTGTCTTCTGGTGCTTTGATTCAGCATGCTGATTTTCTGACATGATAGTGTCACAACACTCATGGGTCTTGACGCTACTTCTGGTTATGAATGAAAGTTGTAAAAATAACCCTAGGTTATGAAATATATAACTGGACATAACAAAACTAATAACTGGAAAGAAATAGTATTTGTTTTGGATAACCATCGCAAAATATCTCTAAAATGATGCACAGAATTAATAATCTCAATAAAACTGTTCAAGGTCACATTGAAGGAGTCCATTTGCTGAAACAGAATAACAACAGAGAAGCATGTTGCTAAGATAATAGAGAACACGGAGATGCAAACATCGAAATTGCTAACTTCTCTTCCTGGCACAATTTGCAAAAATTTAATGAATATGTGACTGTAGCATTGTCAGAAAACGTTTTTTACAGCATAATGTATCTTTGTTTATGATCATTGTGTTTTGTTTACAATTTGGTGCAAACTTTAAAACACACCCTTCTTAAGATTTTCTTCATATAAAGTCAGGTCTTAAGGACTTCCTAACTATGAAATATATTGAACATGTGACTGTAGCATTTTTAGAAAATGTTTTTTAGAGGTTGAATCGATTTACTATGAATTTCTGTTGCAATCAGAACAGATCCATAAACTTGTAAAGTACCTGACAGAAATAGATGACTTTATTTCAATCCACCATAAATTAATTGTGACTTCTTTTACTGACCACAGCTCATGTTAGGTGCAGAAACTAATGCCACAGTGCCAATCATAACATCCTGGTTGATTGACAACTATAAAGTCTCATGAAATGAAGTTGATTGGATTCAATGTTTTCTTGTGTTTGATGGCTACTATCCTTGTCATTACCGGGGGGGTGCTAAATGTTTTCTGTTCTGATTTCTGTCCAGAATTCATATATTCCTAGCATATTCTTGCTGCTGTTACCCAAGAAAAACCAAGAACAATTGTAAGTCACCTCTTCATCTTTCTGCCCTCTGTAATCATTTTGCAGTAAATTGGTGTTAAATCCTATTTGCATTCCTTTGCTACTACAACTGCACTACCTTTTTACCTACTGTATTTTCTTACTCATTAATACAACTTAAGTATAATACAATCCCTGTATTTATGAAGTTAAAGACAGGGAATAAATTACATCCTTGAGTATACAGCCATCCCTATGTAAACTTTTTTTTTGAAAAGTACCAAATTATCCATTAAAATCTCAACCATTGCATATCTCTAACTTCCATTTAAAAAATTATTTTCAAATTTTCATGGAAAGGTGTTTCAGCATTAATGTTACCAAAACATGACAGATATTGTGTATTCTCTTAATTTTTTTTTTTTAATCAATTTCTGTGAATTTCTTGTTTTTGAGACAAAAGACAATTATACTGATTTCCAAAGTACAAATATTGTCAACTTTTTGTAAACAATTTTTATCAATACCTGCCTACTTTATTTTATTAACTATTCTATTGAGTGTGTTTGCAATCTTGCTGTTTCAAATAAGTTTTTTTTAAGCTGAGTAAAAATTTCTGAAAACATGTATTTGCGTATAATAATGCCCCTTTTTGGTTAAAAATTTCTTGTTATACACAAAAAAAAAGAAAATACGGTATTATGTCATATTGAATCCATTTCTATAAGAGTTATGTGGGGAGGAGATAAAACCTCTAATTATTTTTGCACTTCAATTTATATAATCTCTTTCATGCAAAATGTTTATTCTTTAGTATTCACATGTCACTTGATAAAATTAAAAAATTTAATAATGTAAATGTGGGAAGGATAAATTTCAATTTAGGATAAATTCCAATATTTGATCTTTTCTTTGCTTTTACCATCATTATTTTGATTGAAAGAATTTTTTAACCACTGATAAGCCATAGAAGAAGAATCAGTCTAAAAATATTTTCTGGAGGCCAGAAAATATTTTTAGATTGAAAGAAGTTTTTTTGAGATAATAATGATTTAGTGATACAAGTCTTACTAATTAACCCATAGCTGGAGGAGAAGAGTTAGATTCATACCTTTCTCAATGGTATTTGTGCATAAGTGAATATAATGAACCCAACTGGAATTGAAACTCAGCTCTCTGATTAACAATTCCAAGCCATTATCCATTACACCACTTGCACATCCAAGCTTACAGCACTTGGTATTCCTAAGCAGTCACCCATCTAGGTACTGACCAAGCTTGATGTTGCTTAACTTTGGTGATCATATGGGAATCAGTGTTTCAACATGTTATAGTTGTAAGCTGTCATTATTTAGTAGACTTATAAAAATTTGCTTTTATTTTTAGACTAATTCATCTTATTGTTGCTTTTTATTGAAATGCCCAGTTTGTGTTTACATTCTACAACTGATATGTAAAATGATCTGAATGTTGCAATAAAAACAATATGAACGGAGAACTAGTTCGAAATTAATAATATTAGGTTGTTCCATAAATTCATACATTTTTTTTTTATATTTTAATACTTATTATTTATTAGTAGTTTTGATAAATATTCAACAAATGTATTCCCCTTCATTGTTTACAACCTCTTGCCAACTATCCACTGTTCAATGCCTTGATGATAGAAATCATTAGGTTTTGACTTGAAAAATTCATCAAGCCAGTTTTTAAGCTCCACATCATTGTTGAACAAAAGAAATTGTTAGAAAGCAACTGAAAAAGTTGGTAATCTGAAGTGGCTAAATCAGGAGAATATGGAGGGTGTGCAGAACTTCTCAACTGAATTCTTTAATTGCATTTTTGGTCATATTAGCAATGGGGGGGAGCATTGTCATGTTAAATAATCACATTGGATTGCAGGTCACGTCTTTTTGGCTTCTTTGAGCCAGTTCATTTGTTCAACATAGAGCATGGCATTGACCATTTGGTTATTCAGGATGTTATCCATTGAGTGAATTGAGCAATTGGTTCACATCAAACTGAACAGGTCTGCAAGTTTGAACTTCCCCTCATTGAAATGGGAAAACCATTTCTGTGCCATATGTTGGTAATGCAATCATCTCCATACACAGCACAAATGTTTCTTTGGAAGCTTTATGACCTTGATTAAAAGCTCAGATGATGTTGAACATGCTTATTCTTGTCTACTTGGCATCTCATCTCAAAGTGTGTGTGGGGGGGGGCAGTGTGCCCATGTCACTAATAAATGTGACAAAAGATCAAGGTTTAAAGTGGGTTTACTGTAAAAATTGCTCAAGACCTTTTGACACTTCTCCTTTTGAGGATGCCTCAGGTGCTGAGTAATAACTCCAGCCCACTCCTGAAAGAGAGTTACTGCCCAGCAGGGTTTGAGCTAATATTAATTGCAACTTTCCTGGCTTTTGATAGGTGTTTCTAATCTGAAATAAAATTTCAACAATGTGTGACACTATTTAGCTATGGTAATTGGCTAACTAATTAACCATAGAAATTAAAACAGAAAATAGACATTCTTAAAGTGAAAAAAAAAGAGCTATAATGAAAGATAGACTGATCAACATTAAAAGAGAGATTTTAATTTGTTTACAAAAGAAACCTGCGGAGAGAGCCGTGTGTGAGGTCCTGTTGAGTTGATTTATGTATCGTCGAGGGAGATAGAAAGAAAGGCAAATACGGAATTATCGGCCATAACACATGCCAATACAGGCAGGGAGAATCAATGTTAATTATCTTTCCAAGATATCGTTTAATTTTTTTTTCTTGGATACAGGCAAAGAGAAGCAATGTGGCAATTATAAAATCTTGGCATTGTCTCGATATAGGTGAGAGGATTGTTATCATTTATTTTGCCAACAGATGCTAAGATGCCGAATAGCAATGTAGCAATTGCAAACTTTTGGCAATCTCCAGAAAATAGTGGATAATTGAGATTGAACAAGATAGAGGAATTTAATTCCTTAACAAGTTGAGGTTTCCATTATGGGGCTAACTTGATGTAGGAGACCAGATGGCAGTCTTTGACAGTGATTGATGGGACGGTGGGGGTACTGGCTAAGTGACTTTTAGGTGACCCAGGAAAAGGAGAAGATATGATAAATTTAATTGGCAGTGTGGAGATTGTAAAAATTTTTGACCGATAGGAAAGGAGAATTTTGTAAACAAAAATTCTAGATTCTGGCCACGCCCACACTGCCAAGAGATCATTGGTTGTATGGTAGCATGGTGATAGGCGGAGGTGAATTGATGAGAAAGGCAGAGATGATGTTAACGCCCACTGAAGGGATTGGTATGAGATAGAAAGAGATTACAGAGAAACCCAGGCTGCGTTGGACCCACACACCGGGTTTTGGTTGGTACCCATATAAACGACCGTCGATGGGTCGTTCTCAGAGTTGAGTTGCAGAAGTTGCAGTTGAGTTGAGCTGGTTTTGAACCAGGGTGTTGCCTTGCAGATGCTGACCAAGAGATTCCATGACCTCCAACTTCGCCAATGCTACCGATAGCAAGTTATATTGACGAATGAAGTTAAGCCAGCACTTAAAAACTAAATTAGTTGACTTACGATATCAACTGGCTTGAAACACAGAAGTGTCACATTTCCTAGGAAATGGGCTGGGAGAAAAACACGTTCCTGTATACAATAGAAGGATAAAGTTGAATTGTTATTTCTTAAACATACTTGGACCTCTTGGGTTTTTCTATCATTTATTTATTTTTTCTTTCTTTGCGCTTGTGCAACGCCACCTTCAATTTAGATTCAGTTGACACTACAGCCAGACGCCTGATTGATCTCGTCTACCTAAGATCAAAATCACAATGTGGGTAGATAAGACTTGAGATCAAGGCAGTTACTCCATTAACCAGACGTTGCAAGTGAGCTGTGAACAATAGAGTTGGCATTGAACCGGTGCAGCCGTTAACCTCGACAACCAGAACTTCACCCTGGTGCCGTAACCACTGGATTTGACCCTGGACGGCTGAGTGTCACATATTGGTATCCTGACCAGGGGATTTTGCCGAGTAGTGACAACCACCGAACGACCGGGACACAGGCTGGTGGCAGCAACAAAGAATCAACCGCAAAACGCCGGTAGAAGAAACCTTACAGCTTTGTGCCGTGACTGGGAGTTGACCACGGGCCAACAACTTGGTGTCACAAATGTCAGACAACAGTTTCACAAGATGACCAGAGTTACTAAGAATCAGAAAATGCCATGAAAGATTATTCTTCAAGATCATTCAAAGAACATCAGAAAAAAAAAAGACAAATGAATATATGTTACAACCTAATAACAATGCTTTTGAGACTAATTTGTAAAGCACTATTAAACAGAGCATCACAGATTTAGAGTGTTAAAATCTCATCATAGGCTACTACTTTATTTTCATTTTATGTTGCTTGTTGTCATAGAAACTGAGTGTTTTTGATAAAAAGCAACAATTGATCGATTTGTTTTTTTATGGCTTATCAATCCCTTGCAGGTTCTTTAAAGTCAAAAAGACATTTTTTAGATTGTAAAAACTTTAGATGTTGAAATAATGATTTAGTGATACAAGTCTTAATTAAACCATAGGTGGGGGAGAAAATGTGGATTCATACCTCTCCCATGGGTATTTGAATATAAGTGAATGGATGTAATGAACCAATGGGAATTGGCTCTCCAATTAACAATTCTAAGCCATTTTCCATTATAATGCCCGCACATCCAAGCTTACAGCAGCTGGTATATCCAAGCAGTCACCCATCTAGGTACTGACCAGGTTCAATGTTGCTTAACTTCAGTGATCATATGGGAATTAGTAGCTTCAATGTGATATGGTCCTAAAAAGATGAAAAGAAAAACTAATCTGAAATTAATAATAACGATATTTCATCTAAGAAATCTAAGTTTTAAAAAAATATGAATAAAAACCAACTCCAGAATATTCTGTTTGAACATCATTCTTTTTATAATGTAACAAAATCAGTTTTATTCTTTTATTTTGCTTTTAAATAAAACAAAAATGAAAAATATCATAAAGCAACAAACATTTATTTTTTTTATTTATTTTTTTTTAATGAAAATGAAAGAAAGAATTTAAATGTTTTTCAAAACAAAAACACAAAGAAATGAGATCACAATTTGATTAATCTTAAGATACAATATTTACAAGTCTATAAAAAATTGGGAGAAGAGAGAAAAAACGCAAAAAGAAAAAACTTAAATGAAGATTGTTCCAATAAAATGTAAATTACTAACATTAAAATAATTTTTTTAAAACAAGGTTTTGGGGTAGAAATCTTAATTCAAAATAGAAAAAAAGACTTATGTTAAGAAATAAGTGTTGGCAAAAAATCTGTTTCATTTTAAAAAAAATTATCAGTAAGGCCATTTATTTGCTTAAATCTTTCATGGATGTCTGTAACTGAATTGGACTTTCTAGGAATGTGTTGTCTTCAGACACATTCAGGATACCCAGAGCATTTTGTTAAATGATTAACACATTAGAACGATATTGATTTTTCATACTAGAAAATACATTAAATGTAGCTTAAGTATAATTGCTTTTAAAGAAAAAGTGTGTGGAGGAGGGTATATGTCTTTATTCCACCTATCCCATATTACAGTGATATTTCCCAAAACAATATGACCTTATTGAAAAGGTGATAATGAAAAAACTAAGATACAGAATAAAAAAAAGTCCATAATAAATTGAATATTAAAAAATAATTTTAGAAAGACTATTTTGATGATGATAATTATACTGCCTTGAAAAATATAATAATAATAATAATAGAATGATGGACTGAAACTGAAGAAATTAAAAATTTTTGAAAATTTATAGCTAATATTGATTTCTTTAAATCTCCTTATTTCTAAAAACTGATTATTTCCCATTTTTGGAAAATTAGCCACTTCCCATTTGGGGGGGGGGGTAGATTGGAGGAGAGCTATGGCAGAGATGGTGAACCACTGAACAACTATCAACTTTTTTGTGACCCATGAAGAGTCTGTGAAATAACGTCATGGAATATGGCTTACCATGAACTATAAAAATTCAACCACCAAGAATCGCCTTCATATTGATGAGTGCTGCATGTGTTAAGCTGAAGACAACAAATTATGAATACTGAATTAAAACATTAGCAACTAAGAGGCAGCAACAAGTTTCTCATTAAAAAAAAACAAAAACCGTCAGCATGAGGGACCCATTTATGTTTAAAAATACCAAAAGTGACCCAGCAACTATAAAGGTTCACCATCTCTTTTCTAGGGTCTGTATGACAAATTTTTTGCTTATATATCCTACCAATATAATTTATGAATTTCAGATTTTCTTAAAATTAACCAGAGATTTTTCTCATTGGCATTTTTTCCCTGGACTTATATATTTTTTAAATAATTGACCAACCAATAATTTTTAAAAAATAAAGCTCTTAATAAAAAATAGACTTAATCATTAACAGAAAAAAGCAGACTGAAAGAAAAAAAAAAAAAAACTTCTTTTGTGCATTTTATTTTAAGAAATTCTTATTAAAACTGATATTTTCTTTACGTTTATTTTTATAAAGATGAAAAAATAACAAATCTCTTTAGCAAAGATAGAAATTTGTCTCTTTATTTTTCAAATTTAAAATGGCAGTAGGATTAATTTCAGAATCCACCCCAACCACAAAATAAAAGATTTCTTAATGGTTTGCTGACAGAAAAGAAATAGAGATTATACCTTATGCACATTGCATATTTGACAAGTATGCAAACTAACTGATGCAGCTTACTATGGGACAAAAGAATGAAAATAATACCATTTCTGTCCCATAATAGTTGGTACAGTTGCATACACCTTTCATACACTTAATGTAACAATTATTATAGGACAAAGGTAGCTTTTTTTCCACTATAAATTGGCTTTAGTATTGTTAAAAATCAGATTTTATACATTATAGAAAAACTATCCAAAGTTATAGGGTTATTTTATTCATGGAACAAAAACTGCTGTCTTTCTTCTGAGAATCAGTATTATTTAATCTGAAACAACTAATTCCAAGAATCGTAGACAAATCAATTAAAAAATGTCCGCCTTATTCTTTAATATGCTAAAATAACACATTTTTCCATTCCCTGAAGATAGACTTTCATCTGGCAGTTTTTGTTTTACAGGCTTGGAATTTTGAATTGAGTGCAAGATTCATTTTGTGGTAATGCCACTAGTAAAGGCATCTCTGAAATCTTTTACACATACATGATTGTAGCTTCATAATAATTAGACTTTTAGTTGAAATATATAATCATTTCAATCCCAGATATGCCATATGCATAGATACCAAAACATTTACTTGCATAATATAAACCAAACAAAACTTGATCATATAGACAAAAAATACTGCATTCAAGTTTTGCAGAAGTTAACATTGCCATATAATTGCTCTAAGAATCATGGCAGATAATAATGTGATCAAATTATCACAGAACATGACATAGTAGTGAATATTTTATAAATTTGTGCTCTTTGCATATAATGTATATGATTTATGATAGATGGCAGTGTTTACAAAGATTTTCTCAATGTTTAAATGCTTGTAAGTAGACTTTTTTTTTTGTTTTTGAACCAGCTTGGTCATAAAATCAATATCTCTATCAGATGAGCCACAGAACTTACATAACTATCTACTTCAGAATTATACAATTTATAGGCACGAGGTGATATCAGCAAATATGATGTGGGAATGATTCTCCTTGTATTTGTGTATTTGCTGCAAGACTTGAACCAGAAACTGGTTAAAATTCATAAAATTGGCTTTTCATAATGAACTACAATATCCAACTTCTGTCAAGGTAGTACCTGGATGTGGGGAAGGAATCTTGATTTCCTTTGCTTCTATGTTAACACTGGCAAAACTTACCCACCCCCTCCATGTTGTCAAAAGTAGTTTTTCTCTTAACATCTCTATTACTATATATTCTCTTGGTAATTTTTACTGATTTAAAAAAATATTTTTAGATTATAATAAAACAAACATATAAATCCAGTTTCATATATCTGGGTTTTATTAAAATTCTAAAAATATATTTTTTAAATCAGCAAAAATTGCTGAGGAAATATAAATTAATAGCAATATTAAAAGAAAAACTATCCATTAGACAAGTGTTTTTCAACCTATCGCCCAAATGGGTCATGACAAATTTCATGTGGGTCACATTAATTCTATAATTGGATATATTCTATCTAAAATGGAATTAGTTTTTTACACTATAATAATTTCATGGGCCACAGAAAAATTCTGGGTTCAGAGTGGGTCATGAGCTAAAAAAGGTTGGGAACCACTGCTTTAGACAAACTGTTTTTTCAGATACATTTGTTAAACATGAATTATTAATTTCCTTACTTTTACATTAATATTAAATATCAAATATTGGAAATGTAAACAGCTTATACTAGTTTGGGAATTTATTCTAACCTAAGATAAATTTGATAATCTATGTAGGCTCTCTATTACAGCTGAAATTTTTTTTTTTTTTTTTTCAGCCTGAGAGAGTGGTTTACCCAAATTTTTAATTTTCCTACTGTTAATCATGTGACATGCTACACAGAGACAAGACATTTTCATCAAGATACCTGGCAATATAGAGTCAAGGGAATTTGTGTTCATGGAAAGTTAGTTAAAATTAAAACTCCTTGCTGCTTTGTATATTTATAGAATGCAGGGTTCATGCATTTCTTAAATATATTAGCACTAAGGGAATATACACAAATTCAGTCAAGATTTGAACTCGAGTTGCCAATTCTGCTTTCTATGCCAATAACTGCTATGCTTCATCATGTGTAATTTATAAAATTCCAAAATGTCCTTGTGTAGTGTAAGTATTAAAAAGAAAAAAGAACAATTTCACTCATCCCTATATAAGATATAAAATCATTGATAAAAGGGAATTTATTACAGATTAAAAACTTGTGCAATTGTAGGAGTATATAGTTGTATGAAATCCACCAGAATTTTTTTTAAATAAAAGTAAGTAGAAAAATTCAATTTTAACATTTATCACTATGTGACTTCATTTGCTGTACAAAATGTTTATCCTGCCAAAGAAAGTGAATGATCCCCGAACAATAGCATGTTTGAATTTCATAAATGTTTTGATATATGGTAACAGAAAACAACTATGAGTGAAATTAATAATAAGGATACTGCAATTGCGAGGCCTTAAGAAGTAATGCATTTTTATTTATTAATTCAATAGATTTTATCACTCCAAACATTATTTTTAGTGGATACTTTCATCTGAGTAGACACTCCATTTATTTATTAAACAGTATATTTATTTTTGTCTACTGGCCTGAATATTGGAGAAATATTATTAAAGAAAAATATGCATTCTCTGGCAGATGAAAATAAATATATTGTATAAATATATACATTAGTAGCATCCTTCAGTCCGATAGATCATACAAAATTGATTATGAATGAGAAGTTAATTTTACAAGGCAATTTACAGCAAATTGTCAGATAAACATGTATTTTTTTCATATTATTTTGTATAAACAATGTCAAAAGGTAGTCTGAGCAATAATTTTTTATAAAAATGAATTTAAATGCATTTTACTAATTAACTCAAATTTTACCAGATAAATTATTTCAGGTAGAGAACAACATTTTTAGTGGCTTTATTAGTTAAAATGTATCTTAAAAAATCACCTATCTATATAATACATAGTATGGTGTTTTTTTTTTTTTTGTTTCTTTGTCCATAACAATAGACTCATTATCAAGTAATGATTAGCAACTTGTCACCACTTAAAGCAATAAAGCAAATATTGCATTATGATAAAAACATTTAAAGAG